GAGGAGGTTGCACACACACCCCGTTCCCAGCCCAAAGCAGAATCCAGGCGCCAGTTCGGAGCTAGTGTCCGATTAGAAAACCAGAAACCAAAGACAATATAAAGGTAAATGCAATAAATAAACATAACATACAGAACTGATTTGGTTTCTGTACAGGTATTTAATTTCAGTAACTTTAATTACAGTTTCTTTGTTTCAGTAACAACATTGTTCAGTGTTATTTTTTATATTTACATTATTGTTTAAGTTAACAAGTTACCATACTTTATAATCACATAACCGTATTTGCGCACCTGAATAGAGCGCAATGAACGGTTCAATCTCTGGCTGTACATTCCAGGCTATGCCATCAACCCAGGCTTCAATGTTTCACTCCTTTCCACATTGCAGCAGCAACAATCCAACGTCTAAGGTTTTGAATCTCTTACATGAAGTAAAGAATGCTAGAAGGAAAGAGAAATGCTAGAGTTACATTAGTTCCGCCCATCAGCACGCAGCGCTATGAGTCCAATAATCGCAATATTATAACCTTTTTCTTTGGTGGGGGCCACGGGGTCCGAGGTCACGTATACAGGGATCATCTGGAGAGCCCATGCCCCACCACACACCCCTAGAACACGTCTGGAGCCACAAAACAGCATAGTGTAGAGCAATTTATTTGGACTTACTGTTAATTGGACTATCCTTCGCCGTTATTTCCATTTTTGAAGAGCGCCACTGCTTCTTGTTTTTTTGTTATTGTCCTGGTCAGACTATCAAAAGTAAAATCAAAATGACCAAACACAGGTACAATATGGGCGGCGGCCCTTGCAGAAAAAGGCTTCCTCCCACAATATGACAGCAACAAGCAGACAGCATGGCCAGATTAGCTTCGGTTGCTATGCCTAACATCACCCATCTCATACAACAGTAGAAACTTGTATTAGCTACAACGCTTATGATTCCCAAACATGGTCAACTCAGACTAAAACACCATGTCACTTTATGGGGATGGAGGATACTTCATCAGCTGCTTGTGTGACAGTCAACAGTGGAACTCCTTTCCAGCGGACGCTGCCGTGACGTAAACACTGTCACGCCGTTACCACGAGCAGGGTATCATTCAGCCAGGGCCCGCCTTATGCACGGCGCTGACCTGGCTGAAGCCCCAGGCGGCCTATCGGAGATCGGGGGCCTATCATGGAGCCAATTAAAAAAAAAAAAAAAACAAAAAGAAAAATTCCCAATTTTTTTCTTTTTCTTATTTCGGGTGTTTAAAAAACAAAAAGTTAAATAACAAGCTTATGGCCTCTTCAGAATATGAAACTTTCATTTCCAAAATCACACGATAAACTACATTTTTGAAGCTTGTAAAGGGAAGACAACAGCTCTCCCTCGCCACTGTCTGCTGTTCCACAGCGCGCCCCCCTCCTCCACTTAAATTATTAATGTAAGACGTAACGTAATCATAGATAACACAGCCAAGGTCCGTTACAGTTTGTCTTCATTCTGATTCTAAAAAAAAAAAATGTCTTGGCTTTCAGAATAATTAAACTTGTTTCGGCAAATTCAATATAAATACAATTTGAAGTTTGTAACGGCATTAAATTACAAGCGGAGAAACGGAGTAACTGTGACGCACAGGCAGGCATAACAACAGCCGGTGTTTTCCCCGGGGAAAACAAACACAATACACACAAACGGCAAATATACACAAACACACAGACAACGTAGAATGAGAATATGTTTCACATGTGACTTATTCAAATTGCGAGTGATTGAGTGAAGAAAAAGTTTGAGAGTGGCGCTCGGAAAAGGAAATTGTTGAGGGAAAAGGAGTTTCGAAACAAGCAGCTGTTACAAAAAATGCCGAAGCTTACAGGTTATTTTAAACCTGTAGGCCAGGATGAGGAGGAAGGACAGATGAGTTCTGTACCGAGCGGTAGCGGTGCCGGCCGCGGGGCCTCGGAGACAAGTAGGCCGTCTGGTTCTGATAGCGATGGAGTAGCGGGAGAGGAAAAACAGACAGGAGGGACATTATCTGTTGGAGGAGATGGAGAGGACGACGAGGACTTGCTACGTGGAGGGGAGCCAACGGCAACCGGACAAATACATGAGGGAGGCCCGATACGTCACTCATATGGAGGAGAGGACCAGGCGCGTGTAGAGCAGAGTGGAGAAGTGCGATCACAGAGCCTGCCGAGGCTATAAATGACTTTGATTTGATGTTTAAATAGGGGGCCTACAAAAACTATCAGCCCCAGGGCCTGATGGCAGGTTAAGGCGGGCTTGATTGCAGCGGTCGGTAAATGAGCTGACCCACATTGGTAAACAATGTACCACTGCACTCTGGAAAAGAGTATAACGTTGGAGAAGTCGTTCTTTAATTGAATCTGGTCTGTACGATTAAAAGCAATACGAGCCTCAACCCGACGTAGTTCACTATTGTTGTTGTGAGCGGTGTTGCCAAGAAAATCAGCTATATAAACGGCGATATCATGACGCACTACTACGGGCGGTTGAAACACAACTGGAGCCACAAAGGAGAACCGGCTCCGAAGCACAAAAGCACAGAGCCCAAAAGGGAACTGGTTTGGTGGGAAAGGGGCATTATTTCAGGAAAGGCTTGTTTAAAAAAGTCTAAACATTTATAATTCATACCTTTTATGCTTCCTTGTATTGGGTAAAAAGTGTCAGGGGTGCACCCATTTAACATATTTCCCTATTGTAACTTGTTTGTCAAATAATAGTGCAGAAAGCAGTTTCTAGATGCTTTCCCTTAAAGGTGGGGTAGGTAATTTTGGAGAAACCAGCTCGAGTGCACTACAATTTGAAAATACACAACCGGAAAAAATCTGGCACTTCCTTACAGAGCCCCTCCTCCAACACACACGAACGCGCACATGACCAATGAGGGCACGAGATAAGTTTGTGCACAGATGGAAGGCTGACAGGCAGGTAGGCCATCCAGTTACTTTAGCCGGGCCGGCTAAAATGATTGGTCGTGCTTTTTACAGCACCACGGCTTCCACAGATGACATTTTGTTATGGATTTTTTGTCAAAGCACTTAAGATATTCATTGCTATCGGGATGTTAAGAGCATTCCATGGAATATAACAACAAGTGTTTCTGAAATAAATTACATACCCCACCTTTAAATTAAAGAAGAGTGATTGTCATATATTAATTAGTTGATAAAAACATTTACCACGCAAACAAAACCTGTTTGGTAAAAAACGAAATACATTCTGCGACTTATTTCATTAACATATCACACAAATGCTTTACATGGAGTTCAGATTACCATGCGTTTACCGTGTTTATTGAATTGCAATGTTGAAGATATGGTCAGAATTTGAGTTTAAAACCTTCAAAAAGTATCAACAGAATGTGGTTACAGTGTTGAAGTTAAGACAAAGATGTATATGTGTTATGTTGCAAAACTGAATGCATGCTAACTGACTAGCCTTGGCCGGCATCATGTACTATCCCTTGTTCCTCTAGATGTGATGGTTAGTCACTTTAGTTTCAGTCTGACACTTACGGCCTGTCCACACAGCAGCGTTAAAAAAATCTTCCAACGCTTCTGCCCATTCACTTTGAATGGGGTGACGTCACTTTACCTCACTTTTCACCGAACTGCATTGTGGGACGCAAAGTGGAGATTTCCAGGATTCTCGGAATTCAAAGTTGAGCAATGTTCAACTTTTGAATCTTCTGAAGCTTTCGGTGGAAGCGTCAGCCAATCAAATCATATGCCAGTACAAGCTCTAGCCAATCAAACCGCTGCTTGTGTGTCAGGGGCGGGAGATTAATGTCATTGGTTGTTGGTCGAGCTTCAGACACGCCCGCCGGCAAGCTTTTTCCAAAGCCGCTGTGTGGACGTTCCGTTAGTGATGATGAACCTCTGGGATTTGGACATTTGATTTATGGCAAACATATTTATGATACTGACACATTAGGATAATCTCCACATATTAACACTTTCGATACAAGTTTTTCCATAAATGCAATCGCCAGAAGTAAATAGCTATTGTAATTGTGATTGTCAAGTGACTTCATGGCTACAATACAAATGCATGTAAAGGTGGCTAATGTTCAGCGTGACGAAGTTTAGATGCCTTTTAACCGCTTGTTAGCAACTGCCGTTCTAAAGATAAGTTAAAGCTTCATACATTCAGCAGTGGGGTATCGACTGACCTATTTTATCTTGCACAACAACATGTGAAAATATCATAGCGTGTGAGCCACAGACTTTATTTCAGGCATCTAACCAAAAACTAATTAAAAAAATGGATTGCTTTGAGAGGAGGGAACCCAGAAGAGCTAAACTCATATTCGGGTTTAGGACACATTCCTGCAACATTCTAAAGTACATCCAAGATTCTTGCAAGTTTGATAGTTTGTTGGAATCAAATGCAAAGTGGCAATATAAATACAAGGACTTGAACCGTCGCTATTCCCCCCCTGCTGTCAGGTGGTTCACTGGTAGAAAAGGTGTGCAACATCTGGGAAATAAACGAAGCCTCTGTTAGCAGTTAGCACTTAGCTAACCTTTAGCCAGAGCTACCCCACCTTTGTGGTTCTGGTCCTGATGAAGTTTCAGGATTTACAATTTTAAAAAGAACAACCTGTTTCACATGATTAATGTAATGCATAATGTTTATCTGGAGTGGATACACGATAGTGTCAGGGGGGAACTGCAACTAAACTAAACTTTTAAACATTAAAGTAACATTTAGGAAGTATGTTACAGATTTTCTCGATTGCTAACACACTAAAATTATACATGAAGCACAATTATTTTAACTGACACTCAAAGAGCAAAACATCGGCTCAAATCTCCAAAACTCTAAACACGTTTTCAGCTTTTCACACAATTTGCAAATCAACATGGCACTTTTTACAAACCACTGCACACGTTTCTCCACGTAAGACACAGGAATCTGACATAAAGTCACTTGTTAGCTGGTTTAAAACACCGATATTCAAAATGCCTCACACATGGACCAAGGATCAAGAAACACGTTCCACCTGACCAAACACCTGATAGCATAATCATTGGCTCATCAATCCGGATGTGAGCACTATAAAAAGACCAGGTGAGTACTTTCTTACAGCAACAATGGAAGCCAACAGGGAAGCAAGAGGAAGAGGAAGAGGAAGAGCTGGGCTGAGAGTGAGAGGAGGAGGAAGAGGTGGGGTGAGAGTGAGAGGAAGAAGAATGAGAGGTAGAGGTAGAGCTGGAGGGAGATGACGTGGACAAAGAGGAATACTCTCATGATATATCAGTGCTTATATCTG